GAAGCCGAGAGGGTCATTGCAGCCATCACTCCTCCGGGTAGTATGTACTTCACGAATGGATAAGTCGATCCCTTGAGCCACACTGCAGGCATTGGCTTTGCAGCAAGGGATGCCACAAAATCCATGAGGGTAACAGACGTCTCCTCACTACAGGCAGAGGCAGTTGCAATCATAGGAACCCTAACCCACGCATCCCTGAGAGAAGGACACGTGGTCATACATACAGACTCCAGGGCAGCCACTGACTGTCTTCAGAACAGTTCACCCAAAGACAACATCTATCTCCTGACTATTGTGCTTACCATAGCGCAGAATATTCTTGCTCAGGGTAAAAGAGTAATCATTAACTGGGTCCCCAGTCACACTGGCATCAGAGGGAATGAGCTACGGAATGACTAGCCGACATTGGCAGGGTATGCCCCCAAATCCCATGATCATACAACCAAGCCGAAATATACTAACAGAGAAGTGTACTGCAGTTGCTCGTACCTTCCTCCTGCAGCTTCACAGAGAGAAAACAAGATCCTCCTGCTCGGCCAGCTGGTACCAGACGCCACAGGCTATGAACTACTGGCACTCTCTAAAGTAATCAACAGAGGTACCAATGTAATTTTTCACAGAATCAGAATAGGTTACCAGTATGCATGGCAGATTATAGAGACAATAGACCGTGAAGAGAGGTGTTACATGCAATGTGGCAAGCCGAACGCCACCCTGGTACATTACGTACAGAATTATAAACACACACAATTCCTGGGACAGGGACTGCCGACAACAGCCGCCGTGCTGATTATGCGGCATGCTTACATCATGGCGGCAAGAGTGCCGTCATAAAAAGCTGACACAGACCGGGCCATATTATGGAAGGGCGGAGCTAGAACTTCGCAAATATCAAAGTAATTTTTCTCTCTCTCAATCGTGGTGTAACTCTCGTAGAAGTAGGATGTGTTTATTATGCTGTCCTTGGTCATGAGAGGTTTCGGACCGGGAGCAGGTGAAGTGCCTCCAGTAATTTGTCACCTCCTTCCAGTGTCAGAATGGCTAATGTTATCATATCGGATGAAATTTTAATTCGCAAGGACGCGTTGCAAGTGGATCCCACAAGAGGGAAAGAAGTAAAGGTGTGGACACGAGTGACAATGAAAATGGATGCAAGAGGCAGGAATAGAGGGAGAAGAATGACGAGGGAACTGAAGCAGGAACCCAGAATGTTGCCGGTGTGAATAGCAGAAAACGATTGGTATCCTCCAAAGACTGCGCATATTTCACGTAGAAATTAAGGCGGCCCATACAACTGGGACCACCGTAACTTCGATAAACTGCTAAAGGAAGGAAAAAGGAGGCTGTATCTCACAGTGCGGACAGGTGAGGCAAAACAGTCTAATGACAAGGGACAGTGATGACAGTCCTAAAGGCTAGGGAAAAGTTTACTAAAGTGATAATGTTCCAATATCCGACAATACTAGACCCTGACTTTCTGTTGAACGACGACAGATTAGTATGGGTAAAGAGGCACGCGTTAAGGGGCAAGGAGGGGAGTCAGCTCGTTGCCCTCCTGAAAGGGGAAGTGCCAGAGAGGGTATTATTCTCAGGAGCAGGGTAAAGGAGGGTGGTATTGTACATGTGTGCGCGGGTGTGTGCGTGCGCGTGCGTGTGTGTGCGTGCGCGTGCGTGTGTGTGCGTGCGCGTGCGTGTGCGTATGTGTGTGTGTATGTGTGTGTGTATGTGTGTTGCAACGGTTCCTGCAGAAGGTAATCGTTTGGGAATCGATTAGTGGAAATTACATTCAATTACTGAGGAAAATTATCGTTGTAATATATTACAGCATTACATATGAGGAAGAACTGTCAGAGAAAACCCAAATATAAACTGAACTTATGGATATTTTGTCCGTCACCTTCAGTTGACATACCTATAAAATTCAAAGCCATTTATATACCTTAGTTGTAGAATATTGCCTTATTTGTTTTTTTTCTGTTGCAAACGTCTTGTTATTACCATTACCGTGGATTATGAAAAGGAAAGTGGGTGACTGCCAATTATTATAACAGAAACCATATCTCATGTAAAACAAAATTACTGCTAATCACACTAATTCGTCTGTCTGACAAGTGTGTCTTGGTATTAACTTTATTGACACGTACTGTACAGAAGACGCCTTAAGTTTACCTGTGAAATGGATAAGGAAATCCAATCCTCCGTTCCCTTGAGCTTTTCTAAGGTGCGCTTCGCCCGGCCCAAAGCGCTCAGTGTGAACGGTTTCTCAGCGCAATGCACTGATCAGTTGGTTATCGTAAACAAACTGCCTTTGCTATTGTGACGCCGCGAGAGAGATAAATTGCTTTTCTGATTGAGACTGTAATAAAGGCTCGAAACCAGTGCCCACAATGCACACACACATTAATGACTATCATAAATAGAAAACCAAAAATAAATAAATATGGCAGTTCAGATAGATTAACTTTTGAGGCTCTAAGTTAGCGACCATTTTGGTTGTTTACAAACGGCCGCGAGGCGGAGCGAACTATCCCCACCCTCTCGCCCTGTCCGCCGCGCAGCGACTCTGCAACGTTTTGCCAGGTCGACCGTTCACTCAATTTTGCCGCGCAACGCACGGTGCGCTTTGCCCAAGTGAATGCAGGATGGCAACTTTCATTTTTTGATTCACTTGATTGTACACTACTATACAGAAAATCCACTTTTACTGGATTGGGAATTGATTACAGTATTTGAACTATTCATCATGATGTTTCTATCCAATTACTTCGAGACAGATGGCTACTCTGACAGCATCTTCCCGAAAACCCTAAGTTGATTCTTAAATAGCAATGTGTGTTAGCCTCCGAAATTCCGTATGTTCTAAAACAAGCTAACCGCATTAAACTACCATATCTTGGGCGCTTAAAGTTCTTCATTCGCTGGCATTTATGTGAGATGCTCAAACATTCATTCCCTCAAACTAATATAGATATGGGTTTCACAAATAACCACATCATTAGCACTTTTTAAAGAAGTCATTTGCTTCAGAAGTATCGATATCACGGTGTTTCAATAAGAAGAGGGATCTCTGCTCTTCGCCAACGCTCACTCACAGAAAATCAACTTTATGCTCACAGTGACTTGAAATTCTGTCTACCTCCAGTCCAGCAGCTCGACCCCCTAATCTTTGAATATCTGCCTATCCAAAAGATGAAACCAGGGCTCAATATCCACAGCATAGCCACGCAGCCCTTGTATTTATAATGTCATAATTATGACTTATAATGATGTAATTTTCATCATGTCTCCTGCAGATATTTCCCATGTAATTACATTTTATTCATTTATTCCATTTTCCGTTTTCTTTTCGTGACCTCTATTCTTCGTGTGCAACCACATGACTAAAAACCATGACGTAGCCGACCGCCGCCATGTTGGATGATATACAAGCATTCAAAATGGCGTCAAACAATAGTGTTATATCATCGTCTTTTTCGGCGTATTACTCCACCTTAGAGTCCTCTGCTAGAAATATGTGGCCTCGAGCCATACATGTTAAAAGCGTCTGATTACAACCGAGATTTGAGAGCTTTCGAATACCCTGATATCCTGAATTACCTGGTGCTACAAACCTCGTGGGCAACCGAAGAGCAAATGAAGGCCTACAAAAGTTTTGAAGCCTACAACTTCTTCATATCTGGTTGGGTTAACACTCTTCTGACAAAGTAATTGAAAGACGGCAGAATTCTTGCTCATGGTCGGGTTAATCATTCACAGCGAACAAGGGAAACTCCAATCAAACCGTGGTTTGTTTGCGAGAAAGATGGCTATGTTGTCCTTGCAATACTTGTAATACTGCTTTAGTTCAGATGTACATTGCCAAATAACTCGAATAGAATTATTAAAGTGTTTACCTTGCTCACTCGAATCTATCTCTTGTTCTTGTGAAACTTCTAAAGCAAATTTTGCTTTCTTTGCTGATCGTTCTTTTGACCTACTACTTCTTGACAACGAAAGTTCAGTATAGGCCTATGAGGTTTCTCCTCATTGAGATCTTTACGATGGATGTGTTTCAACCAAACGCGCGACGTCACTGGAAAGTTCTTCATCACTTTTGTCTCCGTTTTTTATTATTTTCGGTATTCTGAAAAAAAAACTTTCTCTTTATCACGCGTGACATTACTACCACAATTATATACTGCACACAAAGTGGGCATTGTTAGAGTAGAAAGGCTATTAAAGCTGGAAGATATCTTGGAGCGTAACAGCAACTCACACGTGAAGTGTCGCAATCTTGGTTGTTTATCATCCAACATGGCGGACTTCTGGTTTGGAAAAACAGTGTGACGTCACGTGCACACGAAGAATACAACAAAACTGAACTGTATTCCCTACTCTATTGGGCTCGTGACGCCCGTTCTCTCTCTCTCTCTCTCTCTCTCTCTCTCTCTCTCTCTCTCTCTCTCTCTCTCTCTCTCTCTCTCTCTCTCTCTCTCTCTCTCTCTCTCCTCTCTCCCTCTCTCTCTCTCTCTCTCTCTCTCTCTCTCTCTCTCTCTCTCTCTCTCTCTCTCTCTCTCTCTCTCTCTCTCTCTCTCTCTCTCTTTCTCTCTCTTTCTTAGCAGTGATGACAAAGACGGGCGTCTTCAAAATGTCCGCGTAATAAAGATGTCCACTACAGTCTAAGTCTTTCTTTTCATCTTAAGACTGCGCATATCTTGTGGCAAGTCTATATGTGTATGCTTATATAGATAGATCGAAAGATAGAATGATAGATCGATCGAGAGATAGATAAATATATAGTCTAAGATAGATAAACAGATAGATAAATATAAAGTCTAAGATAGATAAACAGATAGATAAATATAAAGTCTAAGATAGATAAACAGATAGATTGAAATATATAGATAAATACACAGATAAGCAGGCAGATAGATGTAAGCTGCATTGCAGGTACATCACCATCGCACATTGGTTTCATTGTATTTCGGATACGCTCACCAGAGAGGAAGAATGCTCCTGAC